ACATAAGGAATTATGAACACAAATGATAACGACTTAAAGTAACCACTACAATCATCGCGTGACGACCCTGGTATCGGAGTTATGTCCCGATTAGAGACGGGACATTTCACATCGCTGATTCATCACTACGAACGGAACCCTGGGAGCCAACCAACAGACCTTTGCCCAGCATTTGGCCTTGTAACTGCATAGTGTGGTCGCAACGTTGCCACGACACCGGGCACCACAAGCATGTCGCATTTCACAGGGAGCGGCCATGCTACTGAAGTTGGGTCGAGTTGTCCGCACCGGATCCCCCGCACAGGAGCGCGGAGCAAGCTTCTCTAGTTCAACCTGCGGACGCCACGGGCTGCTGAAAGAAGGTCTCCAACTTTCCGTTCAGGTCCTCAGAAGGTGAGCAAAAATTGCCAAGGGAAGCAGCATTGGGGACGAGGAAAAATGGTTTGTCTGCCGCGGTCTACGCGAACATTTTGCTTTCCTTTAGCTTGATTAGTCAGCCAATCTTGCACCGTTGGCCGTTCTCGCTTCATGTTTAAGGGAAATGCTCAATGATGTTCAAGTTTTTTTGGGTTAACTCTGTCAAAACTTGAAATATGAAGTACACTACCGTGGATGTTCAAAGAGTGCGAATATTTTTTCCTGCTAACGGTTCCAAGTGGTTAAAGAAGGGAGTGAAGAACACACTAAGAACACTAAGAACAGTCGTTAGACCAACTGTTCCAGTTTTTTTACTTGCTTTCTGCGACCGTGGTCGAGCCCCATATCATGTGATATCGAGATCAGAAATTTAGAGCATCATCCTTGACGCAACGTTTGCTTTCTTACATAATTGTTGAAAACCAACAAGCCGCTATGCACGCCAATCGGAGAACAATCGATTAGATGCGCATTAAAATAGCTTAAATATCGTCATCGAATACCGTGCGCGCACACACGAAGAAGCCCCGGGGCGTGCGCCACTATATACGTGACGAAATATCGCCAGTTAAGTATCCCAAGTAAGGACATACAAATAGTAACACTGAGGGCAAACGATGTTATTTTACAACACGTAGAAAATTACGCGCGAACGGGACAGTAAACTCGGGTTTTAGCCGTTTTTTCAGCTGTGTCTCCTTTTGCGAACCCTGCAAACGCTCCTGGTCGCCTCTCATGCCGCATACGCCCAGGCTCCGCTCAGAACAGGTTTTGTGGTGCGTTATCCTGGGGTTGTGGCTTATCCTTTGCCAGATGGGCTCCGAGGTGATCTGTTTTAATCCTTCTGCCCGGATTGCCCACATGGTAATGACGTGGACCCAGTGCAGACAGACAGTGGCTTCCGGCAGCTCGCCAAAACACAATACCATGACAAGTACACCTCCATCAGCCACTGCACATGATTGAAATGGCATGCAAAACAGCCGTCTTAGTGCAACACCGCAGCTTTGCGTCCAAGCTGAGTGTCGCGCCCATCCCTTCCGTCAGCTTAATGACGTCAGCACAAGGCCTCCGAAAGCTTCCCCGAACTCTCCAGAGCCACACCTCCCCCTGGCCATGACCTCACTGACCTCAACTGCGCAGACTCCGCTGCGGTCATCTCCGTGCACCAAGCCAGACAGGGGGAGGGGAGGGGCAGACGCGTGACCTTGAGAGGGGCGGCAGAGGTCAGGTTCCACGTGGCGACCAAGCCCGAGAGGTGCTGGCGGTGGTTAGGAGGGGAGCGTGCAAATAAGAATGGCGGTAGTTTCCAAGAACAATGATCTCGCCGCCTGCTTCGGCACTGTTGCGCGAAAACCGCCCCTTTGTACTGTCGTAGACGGCTATTTCACTGGATCGTATGCGGGCGAATGCAAACGAATGCATGTTCGAAGGCAGTGGTGCGTTCTCAGGGCTCGCCCCAAAACAAAGGCTGTCGAAATGCTATGTATCAACCAAGATTATCCCTGTTTTGCATTCAAGAAGAGCTCGCTGTCTCCACCGCGCAAGTGAAGCGCTGGTAGGGTGCGTGAAAATCGCCATTACGAGGGCACACCAAAATGAAATAGCCTTATTTATGGTTGCGTAGAACTGTACACTTCAAGAAGCACAGCGTCTACACAGCCGCTCCAGTCACAATCTCTGCCGTGACGAAAACATATGCAACTGATCACAAACAGGGCTGCTGCCCAGATGAGAGACTCAGCCTGCACTTGAGGTGGACAAATGCAAATGAGGATGGGCCCTTGCCCAGCAGTATAAGAAACACCATTTGCCTGTTTCTGTTTCGCCAGTTTCTGTCTGTGTTACGTCTGTTTTAATTGCACGGCGCGCTACTTGCAAATCCATCATCTGCATGAGGTCGCTTCAAGAGGCTTTGGTTGATGACTCAGTGGCAGCTGGGGCTTTCGAGCCTTATTTTCGCATTCTGTGGTCACATAACGCTTAAAGCGAGTGGCTGGGGAAACCCAGATGAACGAAAGGGAGACAAGCCTTCGCCTGGCGCGGTAATCATGCGGGGCTGTCAAACATCGCGGGTTGCGTGGTATCTTGTGCGATACGACACGCACATATCTTTCGAAATTTGAACGCCCCACATGACTTTCACGCTTGCTTTAGCCCCTTCTTCAAAACCACGTGCATTTGGGGCCAGCGACCCGCGAGCCGCGAGCTGTAACAAAGCACCGACATGAAGCGAGATTTCTCATACAGCCACATGGTCTAACTCGTTGAAAAACAAAGTGAAATATGTCGCTTATAGATGCCTTGGCATTAGACAAGCCCGCTTAGCCTTGAACCCCTAACGAAAACTCCGGAACGTTTCAAACTCGCCATCGCCACCAGCCGTTAAAGCCCCGCCGCGGGGCGCTACCAGTATGTGAGACGGATCATTTGTCGACACGGTGTGAGACCCTCCTCGCCCGAAGATCGGCTCCGGACGATCATCAGTCGGCATGACAAATGGCTTAGCGATCGCCGGTAGCCGCCGAGGCCGAGGCCGCGGCTCGACGAGAGCTGCGGTTAGCCACCTGACTCGTGGTTCGGCTCCACGGGACTCCTGTGCTTGTCTATGCGACTGCTGTTTACAATTCACGGGACTCTTTTCCTAGTCCGCGGGACCCTGCCTTGAGTCCACGGAATCCTGTCTTAAGTCCAAAGGAATCCTGCCAAAAGCCCAAAGGACTCCCGTGACGAATCCATGGGACTACTGTCTTCAATCCCTTTAATTTTGCCAGAGTCTACGGAGCCCTATTTCAAGATCACGGGACCCTGTCTCGAGTTCACGGGACCCTGTCTCGAGTTCGCGGGACCCTGTCTCGAGTTCACGATACCCTGTCTCGGGTCCACGGGACTCCTGTAGAGACGGCCCTCTCCGTGCGGCGTGCGTGCCGTCCTTATATGTGCCGTCCTTTCGCCCGATCACCATAACGCGTTGACGGGCGACTGGATAATTCGTGATCGTAGGCCATGTCTTGCCAGGGGCTCACGCAAAGGCCCGCTTCGCCGCGCGAGGAGCCGCCCACGCTGTAGTGCCCCCCCCCCCCCCCCACCCCCCACCCCCACCCCACACACCTAAACTCTGTCAAAGCTGAGGAGCGACCGATTTTTCGCCGGACTCCTGCACTTTCAATGATAAATATCACGTGTTTGCGAGCTCACACGGACTGTCATGCGGATACGATCTTGAGGCAGCAGTGGCAAGTCGTTGTGTTGCTGCTTTTGCAATCACCGCCCCGCGAAACGTGCATCAGAACTATTTATCTTGAGAGGAAACCTTGAGCTGGCGCCGAAAGCAACGACGTCAGTGACACGGAACCTTGAGTGAAATACCGCGCAGACCTCGGTCCCACGACAGCGGGGACAGCAGCACAAGCATATCGCTACCTGGGCTCAGTCCAGGCCGCGGCCTTGTGCTGGGGGCTGTTGTGCTGGGGGCTGGGGGCTGAAGGACGGCACTGGCACTGTCGAGAACGCACGGCCAGTGGCCGTTGGGGCGTGCCGTCATCACGACAGCGCGCCCCCATCACGAGAAATGTCACACGCCCGCTGAATGGTCCTGCGCGAGGGACGTGCGGTTTGGACTGGTTCGCGTGGGACGCCGCGGTCATCGGAGAGCTTCGTCGTTGTTTTTTACGTTTGAGCCGGGACGGCTTCAAGTCACGTAATCCTCACACACTGGCAAAGCTACCACCGCATCAGCTATCTGTTCCATGCAAAGTGAGCTCACCAGAACTAAAAACAGCAACCAGTGACGTGGCGGAGATGGGTAGGGTTGTTTCATCAAACCAGCAGGACCAAGCCGGGCCACACCTACCCTCAGAGGGCAGACAAAGCCATAGCCGCATCTTATGATTCGCTTCATTTTTCAAAACAGTGTCGACCGGGGTAAAGTTTGGCTGGATGAGCGCACAGTTGAGAACGAGAGGGCTCCGATTCTAGCTATCACAAGCCAACGTCCACGCTGATCGATTATCTGGCGACGTATCTGGCGACCATCTTACAATTTCTCACGGTCCTCATATTTGAATGATAATACAAGTGGATAACCGTCATCGCAGAGTCAGCCATGTCATAAGCTAGGACCATATCATCACATAACGCAACTAATCCGCAAGTTCCGGCACCACAGTCATATCGTTTATTGCCCAAGATAGTGTGTCTAGGTGAGTGTCTGAAGCCATCGATACAAAGACTGAGTCAGAGTTTTAAACGTTCCTGGTGGTCGCCGTCGTTCGGATTCATTGCGCACTGACCAGGTGGTTGTTGGGCGCGGCACGCAGCACCACCAAAATATGTGGGAATGCGCTGGCAAAGACGCCTATGGTACTCGGTAATGCCATCGGTAACATTCGATTGGGGGTTGACTCGTCTGGCTACTTGCAGAGGCGCATCGCAACTTTGCCATCATCTCTGGCTACCTCGTTCAAGTAAACGAACATACGGAACGGAACTTTAAAATAGTAAACCATCACCCCTCGACCAGGCACCATCAAAACGCAACGCTTCCCGAGGAAACAAAATAGTACTTCGCTGTGACGCCTTACCTCAGAGGGTATCTTCTGACCGTGCAAGAGACTCCCCGGCGGTGGCGGCGGCGGAGGCGGAGGCGGCACGCCTCCGTTAACACTCCCGTAAACAGCGCTGTGCACAGCGCCGTTCACAGCTCCGTTCACAGCGCCGTTAACAGCGCCGTTAACACTCCCGTTAACAATTCCGTTTACAGTGCCGTTCGTCTGGTTGGATGTCTGGGCGGATGTCTGGGCGGATGTCTGGGCGGATGTCTGCTGCTGTCTGGAAGACAAAAGAGAGATTGAGTGAGATACCGAGTGTGGTTGCGAATAACTTAGCCGGCGACGATCATCCTGTTTGACGAGGCCTCTGGCAGCACGCATTAGAAAAGGTTTGGAAGGCATTTCGCGTTACGCAAAGTCGGTCTTTCCATGCATGAACAAGAGGTTAATGATACTGCCACGAAAGGTGAGGAAAGGCATAGCCTTTAACAGCTGATACGAAGCATGCGTTTTCGACCATTACCTTTTCGTGTTATTACGTATCATTACAGCGTCAGTTCCATGACCTTAATGTGCGTTCTTAACGTATTACTTTGCATCGCGCCTGCTATTGGGGTTCTCGCACAGGTCGGTTCTCACGGAGCAGGCAGAAATTGATCAATTCATCAAAATATTGGGCCAAATACAAATGTCCATCCTACCAGCTTACGCCCGCCTCGGTAGGCATACCACACCCGGTGAATACACAACCCACATAGCTTCCATAAAAGTCAACGAAGGCCGAAGGGATGATTGCTTACCGGCGGATTATGTTAATCAAGAGAACACGCTGCGAACGTCGGACGCGCTGCCCTGTCGTCCTAAATTCGTTGAAGAATTTCGCGACATATTTGAGAGTGGAGCGCTCCAGTTTCAGTGTGGTCGGCGGCCACGTCCCATCCCCTTGAGACCTGTCAAACCTATCTCCTTCAAAACCGTGGTGTAGCAATCGCCAATTCATGCACTTTTGGGTCACGTGCCTCATTTTCTCGCCAACCCTGAGCGCACAAATAAGCGACATGAGTTTAGAGCAGCGACAGCAAGCATTAAGCGGCTGGCATGACCAAAACTGGCAATCGTCGCAATACTGCACCAAATACCAGCGTGCTTACGAATCATTCGCTCGTGTGGGATTGTAGATGAAAATATCGTGATAGTCTTGTATACTCGAGCAAGACCCGATGGACAATGATCAGAATGCAGTATCACTGCTAGGCGCGGCTGTTCCGTGCTAGCCACAGCGAAAGGGGACGATGAGTAATGGTCGTTTCGCTTCCCAAGCAAAACGGACAAAACTATCGACGTTCCTTGCAATCGCCGGACGAAAACATGCCTCTATCCGCTCCCAGACAGGAACTCCACGGCATACGAACAGGATTTCCGGTACCGCTGGTATCGTCAGCCGGTACAGAAGCAGCACCCACGGTAGCATGCGGTACGGCACGGTCCCGGGCCTGGCTCTGTCGGCACCTCTGTCAGTGCCAGCCAAACATTGCGTGGCCTATAGGCCACGTAACGCAACGTACTGGCCTATAAGCCGATTCCCATATACCAAAGGTGCTCTGCCACTGTCAGGTTTCGTTTTTATTATTGTTTGCCCCCAGTCATAGCACGGTGCAGTGCAAACCTCGACTGATGGGTGTGGGGGTTAGCGGGATGTTAGATTCACCCCTCCCCGGAAAAAAGATGCGTGGCACACGTTGTCATGTAAAATTCTCGCGGCGCGCTGGTGGCCAGAAATCAAGTAAGGACTCAAAGGCCGGAAGGCCAGCCGGGAATCGAACCCTGGCCTCCCACGCGAGGGTTTGTGTCTGTTCTCATACAACCACAGTCGCCCAATTCGGGTCCAGGCAACGCCGCAAGCGTAACACCAGAGTATTTTCCACGAGATATAATGTTAATAATGACATTAACTATTATTTCGTAACAAGCATTGCTTTAAAATTTGTTTAATGTTGCAGCACGATTTCATAAAATAATGCACCAATTATTATAAGAGCACGATTACGTCCCATTGAAAGTCCACATAATCCCTGTTCGTACTCACGCCATGCTCCTGATTTGCTCAGCGACGCCACGGTCCTGGACGACCTGTTTTCCCCCGGGCGCTCGCTCGACCATGTCCGTGCTTCGGCCGTGGCACGCGCCCAGCATGTCCCGATACATGCTGTAGGCCAGCTGCCTGACCCTTGGGTCACTGGGGTCAACCGGAGGTGACATGACTGCGGCACGCGCGGCGGACGGCGCCTTTGATCGCCCTCGCGTCCGGATTGGGGGAGGGGGAGGGGCTGGCAAGGGGATCGCACAGCGCGTGGCTAGCCGAGGGCAAATTGACAGGCACGAAGGCTTCGAGCTGATGATCCTAGTGTTGTGGCACACGAGGACGCCGAGCCGACTGATAGTCCGTTAGCCGTTGCATCCGGCGACCAACAAGCGAGCGAGTCCTTGACAACGGTTTCCGCCGCTGCTGGTATCAGCGCCAATCACAGCACGAGCTAAGGGCTTAGTCGGCACGATTTCAAGCCGAACTATGCACCTGTCCAGCTGCCGAACCCGAATCACAGTGACGGCGGCACGGCTCAACAGCTGCGCAGCGCGCGTTCGGGTCACGTTCAGGAGCGCCTCGACGGCGCGGGCACCGCGAGCAGAGTGGACGCGGCGGACGCTGCCGACGGCGGACACGACGCGGACCACCGGACACGGCGGACACGGCGGGCACGGTGCGACCCCACCACCCAACGCGAGCGGCACGCGAGCACTGGCTGCGGCCAGCGCGAGGCGAGTCGCGGACCGCACCCCGCCTGGGGCGGTGCGTGACGTCACCGCTCGTGATGACGTCACTGCGGACGCTAAGGCGCGGGGCGGTTCGCTGCCGTTCGCGCGGATAGCTGCTCACCAAAGGAATAATGCGGTGGGAAATTTTCCATTCGGAAGAACCGTATTCGTCTAGCTGTGTGGGTAATTGGACGGATTCGCTCGTCCGGCTGATGCCTGGGTTGGGCGTTTAGGGTGTGGAGTCCGTCCATGGTGGTAAGGTTTATTTCGAAAGTAGCTGTGACGAAGCAAAACGAGGCGAGGCTTAACGAAGAGGCGCTGGGCAGAAACAGCAATCATGTGTGGCTGTATGTAGTGACCATAAGAATTGCTAAAGCCAAACATCGGGATTCTCGCAGAGCTTTAGAGCTATCCGAAAATGCGGACGTGGGTATGTCTGCAAGTGCGGGCACCGTGGTGTAATACGGATACATTATGTATGCTGGGTGCGGCGGGAATAAGGCGAGTGCCGTACGGACATATTGCGTAACTCAGTATTTCCCCGAAGCACCACTGTACATAAGGTAACCTTTTGCCGACCTAGGAAAATGCAATAATGGAGAACCACTTTCGAATGAGGATATAAGTATGTAGTATCCATTTACAAAAGTGTTATTAAAAAGCGCTAAAAGGGTGTCCAAATATACCACTGTTAGCCGAAGGGTTTCCTTTTAATTTTCTATTTAGGCCACTGTGCACGTTCAAAACATGGCAAGGGACAACATATTATTCTTACCTAGTGTCAACTTTATCGAGCCGTGGCAATTAGAGTTAAGAAATCGCGTTACACAACTCACCGCTACAAAATTCATTCGCAAGCGATTCGGAGCGGGAGAACGCTTCAGATCAGTCAGAAGTCGATGAGATGGTACTAAGCGACTACGCCAACCACCCAGCACATCATTCAGTGTTGCCACTAAAGCAACACACAGCGCCGAGATCCCGTCAGCGAATGCTAACGCAGAATGTTCTCGCCGCTTCGCACCGAGTTACGGCGCCTGGTCCAGCGCTGCTACCATATTTCAAGACCCGCACGAAACGCGCCCGCGGGTCAGGGCGCTGCTGCCATATTTCAAGATATGCGCGAAACGGACCCACGAGTAGGGCTGCAAAACAGTACGGCAGAGTCATGACGGATGTCCAAATCATAGCTCAATCGAAACAGAGTGCCACCTGCCCAACAGGATCGACAGCCACCAAGTGCCAAACTAAACGGGGTCTGAAAGCGCTGGGTCTCCATTTCCAGCGTCACGCATCGTGTTCTGAACCCAGGTGACCCCAGACACCCGTAACGCGACATAGCTGCCGCCACGGCCCGCCCTCGCTCGCCGGCAAGACAGTTAAGCAAACCACCGCGTCTGTGCGTTGGGCCGGGCGCCGCGCCGGGCTACGGTCGATGACACGTTATCTGTGCTTGTGGTCGCGCACCGGTTTGTTTGATATCGAGCGCAGTGCAATCGCGGGGCTGCACAGACCGCCGCGAAGAGCACGCCCCTCGTCCGATAGGGAGAGGGCGGGGCAAGAGCGGGGGGATTACGGGGCGTTGCATTGAATGCGGGCACGATAGGGACGTGCCAGGCAGGGGCAGGCCTGAGATCAGGATACAGGGGAGGGGGAGGGAGGGGAGCTGAGAACGGGAAAGCATAGAGCTAAGAAGTGGGTAGAGTGGCAGAAGAGCAAATGGGGCGAACAGCGAAAAGGGCGAAGAAGGGAAAACAGAGAGAAGGAGGCGGATTAATAGGCTGGTGGCATGACGATCCAGTGACGTGGAGAGAGCGTCGCAAAGCAGTGATGGATAGAGGGTGGCAGAAAAGGGGGTAGTGGGAGAGGCTTGGAAGGACGGAGAAGTGATGGAAAGAGGAGCAAATAGAGAAGCCGGCAGATGGGGAGGAAGGAAGGGAGGTATGGAAGACATAAGCAAGGAGGAAGGAGAAAGACAGGAGAAAGGGAATCACGGCAGGCAAGCGGAGAGGGAGGCAAGGAGAGGAGAAAAGCAGGGGAGTGCGGGTGAGGGAAGAAGAGATTCCCAAAAGCAAGACGATAGGCGTAATACACGCAAAAAATGCACACGAGTCAAGCAACACGCACGCACGCCAACGCACAGCCTCTTCCGAGACTCTCCCACCCCAGGCATACAGTGTCGCTCGACGTGGCAAACACACCATCGTGAGCACAGACCACCGAGCCCGACTAGCTTTCGCATTTGTCGGTGCCCACGCAGCATTGAGCGCAGTCAGGGCCACGCTGTTTTTGTGTCAGCCGATTGGTGTGTAAGCGGCCACCGCTTCAGAGCCTGTGCCGCCGCTGACTAATCCCTGCAGGTTAAGGTCACGACCGCGGAAGTGGTGCAGCGGGAGGGGTTGGTAAGTTATTTAAGAGTGCTCCCTGACGGGAATGGGGTTTTCGAGGTTCCGGCGTAGAAAGGCG